TCCCCCCTCCCCCTCCCCAGAGCCAGGCCCACCCCCCCCAACCCAATCTCCCTCCTCTTCCCTAGAGCCAGGCACACACCCCCAACCCAATCTCCCTCCCCTTCCCCAGATCCAGGCACACACCCCCAACCCAATCTCCCTCCTCTTCCCCAGAGCCAGGCACACACCCCCAACCCAATCTCCCTCCCCTTCCCCAGATCCAGGCACACACCCCCAACCCAATCTCCCTCTCCTTCCCCAGAGCCAGGCACACAACCCCAACCCAATCTCCCTCCCCTTCTCCAGAGCCAGGCACAAACACCCGAATCTCCTTCTCCAGAGCCAGGCACCAGGCCCCCTCTATAACAATCCTCCTTCCCCCACCCCCTCCCTCCCCTTCCCCAGATCCAGGCACACACCCCCAACCCAATCTCCCTCCCCTTCTCCAGAGCCAGGCACAAACACCCGAATCTCCTTCTCCAGAGCCAGGCACCAGGCCCCCTCTATAACAATCCTCCTTCCCCCACCCCTGCTCTAACCTCATTCTCGGGTCTCCCTCCAGGCACTGGGGCGTGTGCGCTAAGCGGCCAGCACACCATGCGCACCCGTCCCAATCCCCCTCCGCTCCCCTTCTCCAGAGCCAGACACTTCCCCTCCCCACTCTTACCCAATTCCCCTCCCCCACTAACCTTATGCCCAGGTGCTGGAGCCGCCACTGGTGGCGCCGCTGCACACGGAGCCCTTGCTGCTGCTGCCTGTGCTCAGCAGCCGACTGCTAGCACGTGCAGGCTGGTCCACTGTGTGTGACCCAGTGGGCACATGTAGGATATGACGCAGTGCGCTGGGAGCCGGGAGTGGAATGGCACGGGCCGTGAGTGCTCATGTAGCTCACAGCGGCCTGGCTGTGAGAGCGGCTGAGCTGAGCAGTTCCGGGTTCCGTCCCAGTTCCGTTCGGAGCTGCAATTTTTTCCTTTGCGAGTCACATGCATCTTGCAAGCTGCAGGTTGCGCACCCCTGCCTTAGATCTTTGCAGCCTTTTCATTAAAGAAATTCACTGTCCGCTTTCCTCCCTGGCGAGGGCCACAGTGAGTTTCTTTGCACCTCCTGATACACCTGTCCAATACTTTGATCTTAACATACATCTCCACTGCACAGCTATTGCAGAATAAGCTATTCCAGAAAAGTTGTTCCTAAATAGCTTATTTCAAAATAGCACGTGTACATTGCAGGTGTAGTCCCCTTACTAAAGGGGCCTCTGTTTTATTCTGAAAACACCCTGTGTGCTACAATCCAGACCACAATTCCCATGAGCCCTTGGGAAAAAAAACAGGAAGGAAGGACTCTGGTGGGAGAGAGGGGTGCTCTCTCCGGGTATGTCTACACTACCACCCTAGTTTGATCTAGGGTGGTAGTGTAGACATACCCTCCATGTGCTTGAAGGAAGAGGCGTCGCAGTCTGGGACTCTGCCTTGGAGTTTGGAACCAAAGGGGGAGCCAGGCTGCTTCCAAGGACATTGACCCAGTGCAGGGGCTGTTGGATGCAGCTACTAGATGCCTGTTGGAACTGGGAGTTGCAGGCTGCTTCCTAGAGGCCCAGCATGAGGCAGTAAGTTTGGGCCTTGTTGGAAAAGTGCTGCCTGGGACAGAGCTGCTGTTTAGCCTGGACCAAATCCTCACTACGGCTGTAACATCAGCGCCAATGCAAGCAAGCGTCTGGGACTGAGTCTAGGGGTGTGCACACTCTGGGGTGGGGTCACTGTTGTCCAGCTATATAAGCTTCAATTATTGTTATGTGTTTTGTTAATGCTATTCCTTGCTAATCTGTTAATCCCTGTTTATTTAAGTTAAGTAAAGATTGATTATTTTAAAGTGTTCCCTTAGATGTCTATGATTTGTAGTTGTTCTGGAATTAGATCCAGCTTTATGTTGGAATGAGGATATTCCTGGAGGCTCACAAGGCACCAGTGTGTGTTCAAGGCCAGCCAGGTGGAGGCACCGCCACTTTACATTCATTGCCAGCAAGGGACTGCAGCAAGGGGGTGGACAGGGCTTTTCCCCAACTAAACCCCATCACCACTGGGGTGCTCAGGATCTTTTTTGGGTTAAAACACCAGGCGCCCAGGCACACCTGTGAGTGTGACCTGCTCCCCAGTAACCCGGGGAGGAAAAAGGGGGTTACACAGGGAAGCCTCAAAATTAGTCTGAGGCAAGATTCTCTAATGTAGATGGGCCAGTGTTTAGAAACACCTGAGAAATAGGTGTTCGAGTTCAAATCAGTGATCCCCATCAGGCAGAGTTGGGAAATGAAACCCAAATCAACAGGATAATGATTAGCGGGAACATGTCCTCCTTCAGCGGCTTTGTGAACAGAACCCAAGTCCCACAGTGACCCTATCCCTACCAAGTCACTTAATTCACTTCATGATCATGAAGAGTTTTGAGCTGAACAAAACCAGACAGTGATTCCTGAATGACTCAGGACACTCCGCCTCAAAAAGCTAAAGTTTTATTACTGTGAACACACTAATTGTCAACATCACAGGCAAAAATATTGAAAGCAAAGAGCCATAAAATCAACCTCTAATACGTTCCCATTCCACATTTTTCTTTCTTTGACTGATGGCAGATATCTCTTGTGTTCAATAGAAATCTTTTTTGGGTGTGTATCAGGTTGTGTGTGTAGGTCTAAATCAACAAGTGCGTTGAAGTAGATAGATAGATAGATAGATAGATAGATAGATAGATAGATAGATAGATAGATAGATAGATAGATAGATAGATAGATAGATAGATAGATAGATAGATAGATAGATAGATAGATAGATAGATAGATAGATAGATAGATAGATAGATAGATAGATAGATAGATAGATAGATAGATAGATAGATAGATAGATAGATAGATAGATAGATAGATAGATAGATAGATAGATAGATAGATAGATAGATAGATAGATAGATAGATAGATAGATAGATAGATAGATAGATAGATAGATAGATAGATAGATAGATAGATAGATAGATAGATAGATAGATAGATAGATAGATAGATAGATAGATAGATAGATAGATAGATAGATAGATAGATAGATAGATAGATAGATAGATAGATAGATAGATAGATAGATAGATAGATAGATAGATAGATAGATAGATAGATAGATAGATAGATAGATGCTAAGTACTGTGCAAAGCAGCTACCATGGATACATTGCATTTGAATGCCATGTTATTGAAACCCTGCTCAATTGATGTCCATGGGGGTTTTGCCATTAATTTCAGCAGTGTTGGGCTCATACACAATGATTACGACCCTGGAGAAATCTGGATTCTCTCTCTCTCCCAATGAATAATGGGTGAGCAACTCCATTATTCATTGCCACAGGAAATGACCAAAACAAAAATCAGTCTCCTGCATTCCCGTCAATCTGCTCCGTGTATTCAACTGACAGCTAACTCTTGTATTCTCTAAATCGCTGTGAAATCCATGCATTTACTGATTGCTTTTCTTAGGGCCTTTTTGACCTCTGTGTTTCTCAGGCTGTAGACGAGGGGGTTGACCAGAGGTGTCAGGACTGTGTAGAAGAGAGAGAACACTTTGTTCAGGTCTCGGAGTAGCATTGTTTTGGGCAGAAGATAAACAACGATCAGGGTCCCATAGAAAACGGTCACCACAGTGAGGTGGGAGGAGCAGGTGGAAAAGGCCTTTTGCCTCCCCGTGCTGGAAGGGATTCTCAGGATGGTGCTGATGATACACACGTAGGACGTTACAGTGAGTAGAAATGGAGGCAGGGAGCAAACAGCTGACAGGAAAGCCACCCAAAATTCTATCAGGCGGGTGTCGCTGCAGGAGAGTTTTACCATGGGGGCGAAATCACAGAAGAAGTGGTCAATGTTCCCGGAGCTACAGAAAGTCAATTGTGACATTAAAGAGGTGGTCATGCTAATAGCCAAAAAGCCATTGATCCAAGACCCGGCCACCAGCTGGGTGCAGAATCGTCCGTTCATGCGGGCTGCGTAGTGCAGGGGTTGGCATATCGCTAAGTACCGATCGTAGGACATCACAGATAAGAGAAAACACTCCGTAGTGACAAGGGCTCCAAAACTGTAAAATTGCACCATGCAGCCTCTGAAGGAGATGCTTCTGTCCCCCGTCAGGAGCCCGGCCAGCAGCCAGGGCAGGATGGTCGAGCTGTAGCAGATCTCCAGGCAGGACAGGTTCCCCAGGAAGTAGTACATAGGGGTGTGAAGGCGCCGATCGATTACAACCAGCACTATGATGAGGGTGTTCCCAGCCATGGTCACAATGTAGATCACTGAGAAGAGCAGGAAGAGAAGAATTTTCAGTTCCGACAGACTCCCGAATCCCAGGAGAATGAATTGTATGGCTGTTGTATTGCTCCAGTCGGCATCCATGGGTAGGAACTAGACAAGACCCAACATACCCTGGAAGAGAACATGGAAAACTTATGGAAAGATTAATACATCTGTGATGGGGGGCGGTCACAGATGACCCTTTAGGGGGTGCTTCTTGGAGAGCTGGCAAACTAGTGGATACTCGCCTCTTGGCTCTCTGGGGCTTCTCACCACCCGGTCCTGCTGGGCCAGATCTCCAGGTCTCCCCCAGCCACGGCACAGAGTGGAGATCACCTCCCCCTTCCCCGAAGAGCAACACAGACCATTATCCGCATGGGGCTTTTCCTGATGATTGCTAGATGAAGGGTCAGATGGGAAAGGCAACCTAAATTGGTAATTGACAGACAACTCAATTTCTATGACAGATTATTGATCTTTTTGACCAGAAGCTTAAAGAAACAGTCATTCTATATAAACACAGAACTGATGACATGTAATATTGGGTGAGGCATTTATATGCTACGGGAATACAGTTTATAGCAGTGCAAAGAACTCCCTGGATGCTGTGTGCAATGCACAACAGCCATCTTTTATTTTGTGTTTGTGTTCGCTTTTAGAAAGAAGTTGGTCCGCAAGAATCGGTCGTGTTTTAGAACATTAAAATATTGGAAAAGCCCACCCCTTATGTTTCTGGCAAGGGCATTCTGTCTGGCCACACCCCGTACAGCACGGATCTGCAGAATGCACGCCCTGCTCACCAAACCATTATGTAAGAGGACCAAGCAACGACACAGCAAACCAGAGTGGCCAGTGTCACATGACTGCGAATTCAGAAACAAACCCAAGATCAAAGGGAGAGGTTTGAAAAGGGTCGTAAGTCAAGGCCTGGGAGTAGAAGACAATTATGTGGCTAAGGAATTGGATGGGTTGGGAGAAAGCTGTTCTGAGCACCTACCTCTGAAGTTGCTACAGCTCTGGTTAAATCAGTGATTGGGTCTCATCTAACCATTCCGACAGTTCCAAAATACGCCTCTTCCCAAACCTGCCTACGGGAGCAGAATGCTCAGTGATGAGGTGAGAAAAAGCTTAGCCCACACAGCAAAAATAGCCTTAGCATCTCCACAACCCAGTGAGGCAGATCCCCACTGGAAATGCAAAGTACAGCGGTAGTGTAAAATCAGCCTCACTCTCTTGTCCATCGGCAATTCTGTGACGCGTCAGGAAGGTTAATTCTCCTCTAACATGGGGCTATTTCAAGCTGGAATCCTTGGACGGGACTGCTTTGTTCGGCATTTTCTGGGCCCGGAATCAGGTTCAACTGTCCATCTTCTAACACGGCCTCCCCATGTGTTGAATGTCCTTCAACAAGAAGCTTGTAGTCTGGAGGGCTCACTTCAACTGCCTGTGTGGAGCACACGGTGCTGTGTATAAAAGTGGCTGTCTCTGGTGTCTCGTTATTTATCCTTCACGCAAAAAGGTGAAATCTCCCAGGACATCTCCACAGATGGAGTTTTGAATTAATGTGCAGGAAACCAGAGTCATAGTCAAGAGAATCAGATTCTTAATCCCTAGAGGGATAACTGGTGAGTGTAGAACGTCTAGCCTCAAAGGGAAAGAAAACTCTTCTGCTTACCATCTTTATTGAATGTTCTCCAAACTATGTGAATTAATGTTGCCCAGATGTTCCTCTTATCCTTCCAGAATGAGGAAAGTCATTAAACTTAAACGTCTGAAGGGCACAAAGAGTAAAGGACACTTGAGTTGTGACAACACAGATGTAACACCGATTGCTGGAGATTACAATAGCCATCACACCTGACAGAGGAGTGTTTGTCTGTGTCTGCAAAAACAATGAGAAGTCCTGTGTTGCCTTGGAGACTAACAGATTGATTTAGGCATCAGCTTTCGTGGGCAAAACCCCACGTCGTCCACTGCATCAGATGAGTGTGTAGGGATTGCACCTCCAAAGGAAATGGTGGATTTCTTGATGTCTCCAAATGAAGACTGGACAATGCTTTAGTCAAAGAGATTCAGTGGAAAAGCAACCAGTGACTTTCTCCAGTTGTCTGGTAGCACTTTATAGACAAACAAAACATGTAGATAGTCTCATGAGCTTCCATGGGCACAGCCCACTTCTTCAGATGACCGGAAAAGTCAGGGACATAGAGTTTGCTGGTGTTGCCTTGTGTATAATTCACAACTGACTATAATGCTCATTCTGTAGAGTTGGGATGATTTACATCAGTGGTCCCCAACCATTTGAGGCTACCGGGAGCCAGGGGGCATGGCTGTTTGCCTGCCAGGCGCCAGAGGGTGGGGACACTTGTGCACCCGGGGGTGGCCCCCCTCATAACCGCATACCTGGGGGCAGAGCCCCCCCATGCGCCGCGTGCCCGGGGCCAGTGCCCCCCCCTTGCGCTGCGCGCCCAGAGCATGGGTGGCCAATTCATGCCTCTCCCGGGGCCGGCGCTCACTGTGTGCCATGCACGCGCCACGTGCCCGGGACCAGGCCAGCTCCGAGCACTTGGCAGGCACACACAAATGCCCCCGCGGGCACCATGGCACTTGAAGGCACCGTGTTGGGGACCACTGATTTACATGTTGGAGGCTTGGTCAGACCAGGGGTGGTTGGTCTCCCAGCAAAGTAATGTAAAAGACACCCCATTTTCAAGAATTGAGGGGACACAGCTATCCATCTGTCCAGATTATACCATGGGGGATGCCACACCATCCTAGAACCTAGACCAGGGGTGGGCAAATTCCAGCTCCCAGTCCAGATCCAGCCCACAGGGTTAATCCCTGCCGGGCCCGCACCTCCATGTTTACCTTCACCTCCGCATGTATTGGAGGATCGCATTATGGTTGGCCAAAAATAGCCATTCGCTCATTCCAGTTAGCATCCTGGCTGAGAACAGTGATTTATGGCTAACCAGAACTGCGATCCTATGATACCTGCTGAGCCACAAGTAAATGTGACCCTGTGGGCTGTGTTTTTTTTATTGCCCACCTCCGACCAACATTTAATTAACAAGATACTCTCATGTCTCATGTTCAATAAAGGCAAATGCAAAGTGCTCCACTTCGGAAGGAACAAGCCGTTTTACACACACAGAATGGGAAGTGACTGTCTAGGAAGGAATCCTGCAGAAAGGGACCTAAGAGTCAGCTTGGGTCTGCAGCTGAGATTGGCACCGCTATGTTGCACAATGAACACTTGATCAAATTGCTTTACTTTGTGACAACTATGGTAGGTGGTGGGATATGTCATTCAAACATTTTGGGGTGTTTTTTATGGAAAACTTACCATGTGGCCTCAAAATGTTAACCCAGACCCTTGTGTCCTTGTAGGAACACTCCTCACCCACTGTAAACCTGGCCTGTCTCTCTAGGCGTTCATCGACTGGTGTGTTGACTGAGGGAGCTCTGATGCTTACTTTGATTCCGCTGACCTGTTAGAACCTCCGCTTTAGCACGTCCTGTAAACGACTTCCTGGACAAACATCTTGTCATAACAATGGCGGCCCAGTGGGCTAATGTCTCTTGGGAGAGGCCTCATATGCCACCCGTTGGTGAACTCATATGCCTAAAACCAACGCAGAGGATCCCTGTTAACAGCCATCTCAGGCCCTGGGGCAAAGTGTGTGTGGGGGGGTGGCTCCATGCACAGGAAAGGGCGGGTCCTCAGGTGGATGGATGAAGCCTCGGGAGGTAGGGGAGGAGCCTCAGGTGGACGGCTGGGGTCTCAGGTAGATGGGTAGGGCCTCAGGAGGAAGGGGTAGACCCTCAGGTGGATGGGTGGGAAATCAGGAGGAAGGGGCGGGTCCTCAGGTGGATGGGTGGGAAATCAGGAGGAAGGGGTAGGGCCTCAGGTGGATGGGCGGGGCCTCCAGTGGAAGTGGCGGAGAGGAGGGCAATCAGCCATTAGCATCTCCCAGATCATAGAATCATAGAATCATAGAACTGGAAGAGACCACAGAAGGTCATCAAGTCCAGCCCCCTGCTCTAGGCAGGACCAATTCCAACTAAATCAGCCCAGCCAGGGCTTTGTCAAGCCGAGACTTAAACACCTCTAGGGATGGAGACTCCACTACTTCCCTAGGTAACCCATCCCAGTGCTTCACCACCCTCCTAATGAAATAGTTTTTCCTAATATCCAACCTAGACCTCTCCCACCACAACTTGAGACCATTGCTCCTTGTTCTGCCATCTGTCACTACTGAGAACAGCCCTCTCCATCCTCTTTGGAACCTCCCTTCAGGAAGTTGAAGGCTGCTATCAAATCCCCCCTCACTCTTCGCTTCTGCAGACTAAACAGACCCAAG